GTGGGCCAGGCTCGGTGGCTCCCACCACCTTGGGAGGCCGAGGCGGGAGGATCACTTCAGCCCAGGAGTTTGAGACCAGCCTTGGCAACAGAGCGAGAGCCTGTCTCTAAAAAACAACAAAACAAAAATTAGCTGGATGTAGTGGTGTGCACCTGTAGTCCAAGCTACTTGGGAGGCCAAGGCAGGAGGATTGCTTGAGCCAAGGAGTTCGAGGCTTCTGTGAGCCATGATTTCGTCACTATAGTCCAGCCCGGGCGACAGAGTAAAACTCTGTCTCTAAATAATAATAGTGATAATAATAAAGCCTGGGGTATGCAGGTATGCATGCTACTGGCATCTACTGTGAATGGCCGGGGACATTGCTATATGTCCTACAGTGCACAGGACAGCGCCTGAGAAGAAGTGCCGAGTCCCAAATGTGTATCATGCAGGGCTGCAAAGCCCGGGGGAAAGTTTCCAGGGGAGATGCTGCCAGGACAGGGTTGGCCAAACTAAGGAGCAGGAAGGTGGCTTCAGACAGAGCAAATATGCGGACGAAGGCTGTGGGCATCGGCACAGTGCATGAGGGACCCTCAGGAATCTGGGGTCGCCAGAATCTAACGGGGACCCTGGAGAGGGAAAGGAGGCGTGTGGCAGGCAGAAGACCTGGCACTTGGTCTTGTGGCCCAAGGTGGTCATCTAAGTTGGTAGTTTTTATAACTAACTTATTTTTTGAATAGGTAATGTGTTTACGTAATTCAGAATTCAAAAAGCATCAGGAGAGGTCTCCGTCCTGCCCCTTTCTGAAGATGACCCGTTTCCTCTGGGAGATGACGGCTGCAGGTTGTCACTCTCTTCTATGTTCTTCTCTAATATTTTCCTCTTTTAGTTTTTTTTTTGAGACAGAGTTTCACTCCGTTGTCCAGGCTGGAGTGTGGTGGCATGATCTCGGCTCACTGCAGCCTCTGCCTCCTGGGTTCCAGCGATTCTCCTACCTCAGCCTCCCAAGTAGCTGGGACTACAGGCGTGCACCACCACACCTGGCTAATTTTTGTATTTTTAGTAGAGATTCCCCATGTTGGTCAGGCTGGTCTTGAACCCTTGACCTCAAGTGATTTGCCTACCTTGGCCTCCCAAAGTGCTGCGATTACAGGCGTGAGCCATTGTGCCTGGCCCCTCTTTTAGTTTTTACACAAACAGTACCCTACAGGATTAAAACCATAGTTGTGAAATTATGATGCCGTGTTGGGTTTTAACTGGGTCACTCTATTGGATTTGAGGTGGATGAGGCAGGAGACGGGCCGAAGGCTGTTGGCATGGACAGGCCGAGAGATGGTGAGGGCAGAGGGCAGGGATGGGGTTCAAGGAGGAGGTTCAGGTGGAGGTTGTCGAGGTGGGATCAGCAAGGAGGAGGAGGAGGTGCAGATTGTCGGGCAGCAGGAATGGACAGGATGAGAAGGAGGGGTTGCAGGACGGTCTGGGGCAGCGCTGGCCTGGCAGGAGAGCTTCCGGGCTGGATCCGCGCAGCTTCTGTTCCCCTCTCTAGACTCTTGCTGGTTCCCAGGACATCAGCAGCCCCTTCACATCTGGCTCCAGAATGCTGGGGGCCTCTGAGGCTCCACAGACCTCAGCAGGAGGTTTTCTAGGTAAAATATAAAATGTCCAGTGACATGATTTGGATGTTTGTCCCACCTAAATCCCAGTTTGAAATGTAATCTTTAAATGTAGGTTTTCTTAAGAAAAGCCTTTCATCGGGTGTGGTGGCTCTCGCCTGTAATCTCAGCACTTTGGGAGGGTGAGGCGGGTGGATCACTACGTTAGGAGTTCAAGACCAGCCTGGCACAGATGGTGAAACCCTGTCTCTCCTAAAACTACAAAAGTTAGCCAGGTGTGGTGGCAGGCGTCTGTGATCCCAGCTACCTGGGAGGCTGAGGCAGGAGAACCACTTGAACCCCAGGTGGCAGAGGTTGCAGTGAGCTGGTATCACACCACTGCACTCCAGCCTAGGTGACAGAGTAAGTCTCCATCTCAAAAAAAAAAAAGCTTTTGAGTTGCAGGTCAGGTGAGTTGGTTTTGGAAGTACCGGTAGTTCTGCTGGTGCGAGAGAGACTTGTCTCCAGGCAGGTAAACCCAAGTTTGTCAACGAAGGCAGTAACCCCAGCGGTCAGCTGTTGCTGCTGCACCAACCGTGGGAGGAGGCGGGGCCTTGTGGGAGGTGATTGGATCATGGAGGCGTTTCTCCTGAATGAGTTTGCAGCATCCCCTTGGTGTCGTCCTGGTGAGAGTGAGGGTGAGTTCTCAAAAGATCTGGGCATTCATACTGGGTACAGTGGCTCCTACCTGTAATCCCAACATTTTGGGAGGCCAAGGCGGGTGGATCACTTGAGGTCAGGAGTTCGAAACCAGCCTGGCCAACATGGCAAAACCCTGTCTCTACTAAAAACAGAAAAAATTAGCCGGGCATGAGGTTGTAGTGAGCTGAGATCACGCCATTGCACTCCAGCCTGGGCAACAGAGTGAGACTCAGGAAAAAAAAAAAAAAAAAAAAGATCTGGTCACTTAAAAGTGTGTGGCACCCCCACCCCTGGTCCCGTCCCACTGCTCCTGTTTTCACCATGTCACTGCCTGCTCCCTCTTTGCCTTCCCCTTGGACTTCTGCCACGATTGTCGTGATTATGATCTGCTATGATTGTGATCGTCCTGAGGCCTCCCTACCAAGCTTCCTGTGCAGCCTGCAGAACCTGAGCTCATGAAACCTCTATTCTTTACAAACCACCCAGCCTCAGATATTTCTTTAGCAATGCCAGAATGGCCTAACACACACTGATACATTTGAATTTCAGACAAACAACCAATATTTTTTGTACGAGTATATCCCAGATATTCCATGTAGTTGTTTATCTGAAATTCAGAATGCAGAGGGCATCCTGTATTTTTATTTGCTCCACCTGGCTGTCTTGCCCAGGGAGAATAAAGTCTCCAGGTGCAAGTCCCCAGGGAACTCTTTGGGCTGGCCCTGGGGCGGGATCTGCGTGAATGCAGCCATGTTTTAGCCACCTTCGGGATGAGAGAGGGACTCTGGTGAGGGCCACAGCAAGAGTAGCCCTTGAGAGCACCTTATTCTCATGGGAGCAGGCCCCGTACGGTCAGCGTTGGGCCCATCAAATGGCACTGAGGGCATTCTCTTCCCTTTCCCAGGGACAAGGCCCTGGGAACCCCATAGGTGTAGCATGGTGCTGGGCACCAACAGTGGTCAGACAATGCTTATATGAACAAACAACTGCATGAAAGAAGAAATTGGGCCAGGCGCGGTGGCTCACACCTGTATTCCTAGCACTTTGGGAGGCCGAGGCGGGTGGATCACATGAGGCCAGGAGTTTGAGACCAGTCTGGTCAACATGGTGAAACCCCATCTCTACTAAAAACACAAAAATTAGCTGGGTGTGGTGGTGGGCATCTGTAGTCCCAGCTACAAGGGAGGCTGAGGCAGGAGAACCCGGGAGGCAGAGTGTGGGAAGTAGAAAATTTTCTCTTTAAAGTTTCCTCTCTTGTTAAAGAATATGTGTGCAAATCACTGTTTGTTAAGCCCTATCCTATGTAGCTGTTAGACATGCCATGCTTGTACAGGCACACAGTATATTCTATGTCCTTGTACTTTAGCCAAAATATCTGTGCTGGACATGCTCACAGGCATGTCCCAGCTCACCATTGCTTTCTCCTGTTTAGAAAAGTTTTAAGTTGTTTGCCAATCGAGTTTTAGTTTAGATTGTGAGGTCTGGCTCCAGCCAACGGAGATGAGACACAGCGGTAAGGACGACCCCAAATTCGTAAGGGATAAACTTGTCTGCTTTCCTTTGTTCATTGCACTCTCATGGCAAGATGGCTAGTGAGGAGGGTACCTTTCCAGCAGTCCAGGAAGTGAAAATTGTGTCGCTGCAAGATTCTTTGTCTCAGTGCTAATTTTTCTTTGTGGCATCGAGCATCTGTTTCCCATGCAGGTTGCCACGAGCTGTGGTTTCACCACGGCACTCAAGCCTGGGTAACAGAGTGAGTTCCGTCTCAAAATAAAATAAAATAAAATAAAAATAAAAACAGATAATCTTTTTCAGCAAGACCATCCACTTTCCAACTAACTCAGCAGCATGTGGTCACCCCCCACCTCCCTTGGGAAGTGTGTGCATGCAGGATGCTGAGCCTGGCGCAGTGAGCCCTCCGCAGGGGGCGTCCCGCTGTCTTTACCTGGCTCAAAATGAGTGGTATTGGGAAATTTTTCACGCCATTCCAGAAATAGTCAGGCAGCGTCTTCAATAAAATTAGCCACATTTTCTGTCCTAGATAAAATATTGGAAGAGGCTTACATCTGCATACCATTTGCATATATCTGCTTAAGAAACACCTTAGTGTGGATTTTGCATTTCAGACTGACTGCTCTCCTAGGAGTCAGAGCTGCGCTGCTGCTCAGAGTGGCTTCGGAGCATCCCACCGGGGATCCATGCTGGAGAAGAGTCACCTCTAGGGAGACGCTCTCGGGTCCCCATCAGGGCACCGCCCCCACCTTGTGGACTCTTGAGGGGATGGTGTCCCTGCACTCTCACCCAACTCCTGCTGCCCCTCCTGGCTGCTGCTCCAGGCTCAGGGTGCTCAGTGTTACGAAGCAGCAGATGCTTCTCAGAGAAACGCACACAAAATCGTTGCAGTGGATGCTGGGATCAGCACCTGCAGGGCCTCCAGTCACGACAGCCTGGGTAGTCACTGGCCGATTGGCACTCCAGGGTTCCAGCCTCCCAGCCCCAAAGGCTTTGCAGAGCCTCGCCAAATGGACATGTTTGTATTGACTGGCTGCCCCTCCGTGGTGACAGATCCCTGAGAGTTGATGGTCAAAGCTGATTAGCTGAGGCCGTGATGGAGGACGGCCCTGGACATGCAGGGGTTGAGGGGTGTTCTCAGGGCTCTCAGAGGTTCTGCCTTGACCCACTGTGCCTGACACGAACCCCAGCATCCTTTCTGGCTTCCTCCTCCAGGTATGCACAGCCTTCACTGCAGAGCACGCCACACACGGGCATGTCAAGATGCACCATGCCTACACCAATGTGGTGGGGCTGGGGGACTCCAGCACGTGGAGGCTGCCTTGCCTCAACCGCTACGTCTACATGTTCCTTGCTCCTCTCCTCCTCCCTGTCGCCACGCCACTGGTGGCTGTCGGTGAGTACCAAGAGAGCCTGGTCTGGGGTGCCCTGCATGGACCTGGTTCCTCTGCTCTCGCTGCCTGCCTGGCTTCATGGAGGTAGCTTGTAGAGGAAGGCCCGAGAGAGACTTGCTGAGACCGCCTGGCAGGGTAGGGAGAGCCTTGGACCCAGAGCCAAGTCTGGCTCTGCCACCTACTAGCTGGGGACCCTGGGCAGATAACTGAACCTTTCTGAGCCTCGGATCCTCTACCTGCTCCTCAAGTTTGGTGTGAAAGAAAATGAGGTCCTGGGTATAAAAATGTTTTGCAGGGGCCAGGCATAGTGGCTGATGCCTGTAATCCTAGTGTTTTGGGAGGCTGAGGCAGGTGGATGGCCTGAGCTGAGGAGTTCGAGACCACCCTGGGCAACATGGGGAAATCCCCCCTCCACTAAAATACAACAAAATTAGCTGGGCGTGGTGGCAGGGGCCTGTAGTCCTAGCTACTTGGGAGGCTGACTGAAACAGGAGAATCACCTAAACCCAGGAGGTGGAGGTTTTAGTGAGCTGAGATCTCGCCATTGTAACTCCACCTGGGTGACAGGCTAGACTCTGTCTCAAAAAAAAAAAAAAAAAAAGTGCTTTGCAGCCGCCTTGCACAAATAATGCTTCATGTGAACAGCTTTGATGTCTGGGGAGCGATGTTGTACGGTGGAGGGAGCAGGAGGGAGGGAGCAGCTAGCTCTGGGTTTAAATCCCACAGCTTGACCTTCATCAGATTGCTTCCTGTTTCTGTCTTTCTTTGTTTCTTCTTCTCCTTCTTCCTCCTTCTCTTCCTCTTCTTCCTCTCCTCTCTCCTCTCTCTTCCTCCTCCCCTCCTCCCTCCTCCTCCTCCTCCCTCTTCCTCCTCCTCCTCCTTTTTCTTCTTCACCCCCCTCCTCCGCCTCCAGAGTCTCACTCTATTGCCCCGGCTGCAGAGTGCAGTGCTACAATCTCAGCTCACTCCAGGTGGTGCACACCTGTAGTTCCAACTACTCAGAGGGCTGAGGTGGGAGCATCACCTGAGCCTAGGAGGTCAGCCTCCTCCTGAGTAGCTGGGACCACAGGTGTGTGCCACCATGCCCAGCTAATTGTGTGTATTTTTGATCGAGATAGGGTTTTGCCATATGGCCCAGGCTGGTCTTGAACTCCTAGGCTCAAGCAATCTGTCCGCCTTGGCCTCCCGAACTGCCAGGTTTACAGACTTGAGCCATGATGCCTGGCCTCGTTTCTTCATCCACACAGTGGGGGACCCTGCTTTTCAGGGCTGTTGTGAGTATGAATTGAACACACTTAGTCCCCTGCCACTGCCTTAGCACACCTGAGCTAGCAGGGAGCTGCTCCTGATGGATCGGAGCCTTGCCTGTCACCTCCCTCTATGTCTTGCCTCTTCCTGCAGAGCGGCTGAGGAAGGTGGAGCTGGGGACGGCCCTGCGGACACTGGCCCTGGTTTCTCTGGGCCTTTATTCTCACTACTGGCTGCTCCTGAACGTGTCAGGCTTCAAGAGCCCCAGCTCAGCCCTGGGCTGCATGTTCGTCACCAGATCCCTGCTGGCCCACCCCTACCTCCATGTCAACATCTTCCAGGTGAGGCCACCCCAACTTGGGCACTGGGCAGCTAAGGGGAGCATTCCCCAGGGGCCCTGACTGCAGGCTAGACTCTAGGGTGAGGAGAGAGGAGCCACCTGAGGGATGAGGCATCCTCCCTCTCACTGTCGTCACACCGTGCCCTTGCCTCGTCCTGGAGAGACCCTTCCTGCTCTGTTCACCAGTCAAGATCCTACTTGTTACTCAAGGTCAAGTTTCACAGGCAGTGTCAAAGTGCTTCCTCTGCCAGGCGCTATCCTAGGTCGGGAACTCAGAGGTGAACAGGAGCTTCCGGTTGGTGCAGGACAGGACACGATTAGGGGATTAAGTCATTAACAGCAGTTCTGGGCCCGGCGCGGTGGCTCAAGCCTGTAATCCCAGCACTTTGGGTGGCCGAGGCGGGTGGATCACGAGGTCGAGAGATCGAGACCATCCTGGTCAACATGGCGAAACCCCGTCTCTACTAAAAATACAAAAAATTAGCTGGGCATGGTGGTGTGTGCCTATAATCCCAGCTACTCAGGAGGCTGAGGCAGGAGAATTGCCTGAACCCAGGAGGCGGAGGTTGCGGTGAGCCGAGATCGCGCCATTGCACTCCAGCCTGGGTAACAAGAGCGAAACTCCGCCTCAAAAAAAAAAAAAAAAAAAAAAAAAAAACAGCAGTTCTGGTAAGTGCTCCCCTCCCACCTCCCCTCACCAATTCTAAGGATCATTCAAGAGTTTTGATTTCAGGTAAGAAGCAAGCTTCTCTGCTGGGCGTGGTGGCTCACGCCTGTAATCTCAGCACTTTGGGAGGCTGAGGTGGGTGGATCACCTGAGGTCAGGAGTTCAAGACCAGCCTGGCCAACCTAGCAAAATGCCGTCTCTATTAAAAACACAAAAATGGCCAGGCATGGTGGCTCATGCCTGTAATCCCAACACTTTGGGAGGCTGAGGCATGAGAATCACCTGAAGTCAGGAGTTCAAAACCCATCTGGACAACATGGCGTGAAACCCCGTCTCCACTAAAAATACAAAACTTAGCTGGGTAGGGTAGGAGGCTGAGGCAGGAGAATTACTTGAACCCACGAGGCAGAGGTTGCAGTGAGCCAAGATCATGCCATTGAACTACAGCCTGGGCAACAGAGTGAGACTCTGCCTCAAAACACACACACACACACACACTAGCTGGGCGTAGTGGTGAGCACCTGTAATCCCAGCTACCCGGGAGGCTGAGGTGTGAGAATCACTTGAACCTGGGAGGCGGAGGTTGCAGTGAGCCGAAATTGCACCACTGTACTCCAGTCTGGGGTACAGAGCGAGACTCCATCTAAAAAAATTAAAAAATGAAAAAGAATCGAGCTTCTCCTCAACACAGTCGGCATGCCTCCCTCCATTCACGGATGCCCACGTGGTAGGAGATAAAAGCCCCAGTGAATGCCCCAAGGCAGGCAGATGAAGGCACTGGAGGTGGAGTTCTTCATGGGAGGCCAGGGCTCAGCATCCAGTTCCGGCGTCATTTCCACGGGGACATCTCCCTGCTCCCTGCCCAGGGAAGGCGCCAGAGAAGCGCTTCCTGTACCTCCCTGTCCAGCACTTACCACAGCTGCTGTTAACTACTTAATTACTTAATCCCATACTTGTGTCCTGTCCTGCATCCACCGAGGCTCCTGGTCACCTCTGAGTTCCCGACCTAGGACAGCACCTGGCAGAGGAAGCACTTGACACTGCCTGTGAAACTTGACCTTGAATGACGAGTAGGGTCTTGATTGGTGAACAGAGCAGGAAGAGTCTCTCCGGGATGAGGCAAAGGTGTGAGGAGTGAGTGGTAGGCAGTTGAGAGCATGAGGGAACCACATGCCCTGAGAGGTGCCTGGGCTAAGACCAACTGTCCAGATGGGGAGGGAGGAGCAGAGAATGATGAGACTCAGTGCAGGAGACAAGGTCAGCATCGGAACCAGGCTAGGGGCCCTTCCACCAGGTGGTAGGGGACAGAAGAGCCCTCTAGGTAGCACGAGGTCCCAGGACACCTGGCATGGGGTGGGGAGGTCCATGCTGCCTGGCGTGATCCACGTGTCTGTCACAGCACATTGGGCTGCCCATGTTCTCCCGGGACAACAAGCCCCGCCGGATCCACATGATGAGCCTGGGGGTGCTGAACCTGGCCCGGCTGCCGGTGCTGGACTGGGCGTTCGGGCACTCGATCATCAGCTGCCACGTGGAACACCACCTCTTCCCCAGGCTCTCTGACAACATGTGCCTCAAGGTAGTCGAGGTCTGGGCTGGGGGCGCTGGAATGAAGGGACCGTTAGAGGGTGGAAGGGAAGATTCTTTGGCCCAGCGGGGTTGCTCATGCCTATAATCCTGGCCCATTGGGAGGCCGAGGCGGGCTGATTGCTTGAGCCCAGGAGTTCGAGAGCAGCCTGGGCAACATGGTGAAACCCTGTCTCTCCAAAAAAATACAAAAATGAGCTGGGTGTGGTGGCACATGCTTGTGGTCCCAGCTACTTGGGAAACTGAGTCATGACCACCTGAGCCTGGGGAGGTTGAGGCTGCAGTGAACCATAATCATGCCACTGCACTCCAGCCTGGGCGACAGAGTGAGACCCTGTTTCAAAAAAAAAAAATAATAATAAATAAATAAAAGGTAGCAGGGGGAGGGAAGAACCTTCAGGATTCACCTGAACGCCAAGTTCCCCATCTGGCCTGGTCAGAGGTCACCTAGGAAGGGCAGCCAGTGTATCTGCAGCAGCATGAGTTTCAGATCAGAGATACCCAGGTTTCTTTTCTTTTCTTTTCTTTTTTTTTTTTTGAGACGGAGTTTCACTCTTGTTACCCAGGCTGGAGTGCAATGGCACGATCTCAGCTCACCGCAACCTCTGCCTCCTGGGTTCAAGCAATTCTCCTGCCTCAGCCTCCTGAGTAGCTGGGATTACAGGCACACGCCACCATGCCCAGCTAATGTTTTGTATTTTTAGTAGAGACAGGGTTTCACCATGTTGACCAGGATCGTCTCGATCTCTTGGCCTCATGATCCACCCGCCTCAGCCTCCCAAAGTGCTGGGATTACAGGCTTGAGCCACCACGCCCGGCTCCCAGGTTTCTTAATAGCAGTGCGACTCTGGACAAGTGAACTGAATGCCTCTGGGCCTCAGCTTTCTCTTCTGTAAAATGGGAGTAGCAGGGCTTATGTTGACAGGCTTTGAGGATGAAATGGAGAAATAGATCTGAAATGTTTGGCACATGGTAGGTGCTTGGTAAAAGGGAGCTCTGGTTTTTAGCCCCCTGTGCCAAGGAGGGCTGTCATGCAGTCAGGATCCCTGGATGTTAGGAAGAAGCCACTCCTTTCTTCTGCTGGGTGGGGACAAGAATTCTCTGACTTAAGCCCTTCCGCTCCTCCGGAGAATCATGGAACAAGGCAGACAGGAGCTGGGGGTGGGAAGAAGACACCCCCCATGGGGTGATGGACCTGCCCACAGACCCAGCTCACAGGCCCCTCTCCTGCCCTCTCCTGTCCCCCAGGTGAAGCCTGTGGTGTCCCAGTTCCTCCGTGAGAAGCAGCTACCATACAATGAGGACTCGTACCTGGCTCGCTTCCGGCTGTTTCTCCAGCGCTATGAGGAGTTCATGGTGCAGGCCCCGCCGATCACTGAGCTTGTGGGGCTGCAATGAGGCCAGGGAAGCCACCCCACTCCTGCCTGGCCTGGCCCTAGCCCTCCTACTGCCGCTGGCCCAGGGGTTGTGGCTCAGTGGCTGGTGGCGGACCTGGAGGGTGGAGACACTGGACAGACTGGGAGGCGGGGTGATCAGGCCTGGGGTCTGGGGGCCACTTGCCTTGCTTGCTTTTCTGGGTTTTGAAGTGCGTCTGCGGGGAGCAGTGATGGTGGCTGTGTATGCTGGTCAGTCTGGACCTCAGCAGCTCCATCTCAGGACTGAAGAGCTGGGTCCTTCCCACTGCTTCACCTCAGCCTTGGTAGGGGTAAGGGGAGGTGACAGGGCAAGGAGGGATCCTGTTCAGGGGCCACCTGGCAGGGTCAGCTCCCTCGCCTGTGACCTCCCTGGCACTGGGAGAGCCCCACATGGCCTTGGCCACTGCCTCCTTCAGGCTCTGCCCATCAAGGTGCCCTCTCCCCGGGGACCTCAGGTGAGCTTGCTGTTGGCAGGCCTTCCTCGATTCTCAGCCAAAGGAGCCTGTGCAAGACACTGGCTCAGCGGTTCCCCGGCCGCAGTATCAGTGTGATAACAGCAAGTGGGTTTTGTGTGGAGAGAACGCCACAGAAGTGGGGGGAGAAGGTCCCTCAGGGACAGAGCTGGGGAAAGAGTATAAATGGCAGGCTGGGCGAGGTGGCTCGCGCCTGTCATCCCGGCACTTTGGGTCAAGGCAGGTGGATCCATGAGGTCAGGAGGTTGAGGCCAGCCTGGCCAACATGGTGAAACCCCATCTCTGCTAAAAATACAAAAAAAGTAGCCAGTTGTGGTGGCACACATTTGTAGTCCCAGCTACTTGGGAGGCTGGGGCAGGAGAATCACTTGAACCTAGGACGCAGAAGTTGCAGTGAGCCGAGATCACACCATTGCACTGCAGCCTGGGTGACAGAGCCAGGCTTCGTCTCAAAAAAAAAAGAATAAATAGCTTTGAATGTGACCTTGGCTAGCTCAAACAAAGTTTACTTTGTTCTGTGATGTTCAGAAATGGTGAACCTGAAGATAATCCATTGGGAGAGAGAAAAATTGGGGGGAGGGGGTTGGAGCTGGAGGGGGTTCTGGGAACAGGGTCTGGAGGACAGATGGCCTTAGAGAGGAATGGGAGAGGGTGGGGTGTAGATAGAAGAGCCTGAAGTCAGGGCTGGGTGGGGCTGTGGAAGGATGGTCTGCAGCCTGGGAGTGAGATGGGAATATCAGGGAATAGCCAATGTCGGGCAGAGGAAGAGACCAAGGCACTGGGGGTCACCACTGAGAGTCAGCCCACGGTGGGTAGTGTTGAGAGAGGGCTGGGAGCTGCTCCAGCTGGGGCTGGACTAGGAGGGTGCTAGAAAGTGCCCAGGTGGAGGCTGAGGGAGAGACAGAGAAGGAGGCCAGACCTGTGACAGGAGGCCAGACTCATTAGTTGAAAACAGGTTCTCTCACCTCGGCACTATTGACTTTTTTTCCCTTTGGAGATGGAGTGTCACTCTGTGGCCCACGCTTAAGTGCAGTGGCGCGATCTCGGCTCACTACAACTTCTGCCTCCCGGGTTCAAGCCATGCTCCTGCCTCAACCTCCCAAGTAGCTGGGACTACAGGTGCCCACTGCCACTCCCGGCTAATTTTTTGTATTTTAGTATAGACGTGGTTTCACCGTGTTGCTCAGGCAATCTGCCTGCCTCGGCCTCCCAAAGTGCTGGGGTTATAGGCGTGAGCCACCGTGCCCGGCCACTATGGACATTTTATCTGGGCAACTCTGTGTTGTTGGGGCTGCCCCGTGCACTGTAGTACGTTTAGCAGCATCCCTGGCTTCTACCTACTAGATGCAGGGAGCTCAAGTAATGACAATCAAAACTGTCTCCAGACTGCCAAGTCTTCCCCAGCTGAGAACATGCAAGTCAGTCTCTGAGTGCGTAACTGCCTTGTTTTCCAGTGAAGTCCTTGGATGGGGTGAAGGGCATGCTCACCCTGCTAACAGGGAGACAAACTGCTGGCAAATGGGAGCCTGTGGATGGGCAGAGGGGTCTGGCTACAGGCACAGGCATTGCTGAGCCTGGTTCCTTTGGGAGAGCTCCTGTGTGTGTGGCCGTAGGCGGCTGCACAGAGGCCACTGGTTCCTTCAGGTGCACTCCCCACTCATCTCCATCACGCCTGCCTTTACCAAAGACTGCAACTCCTTTAGATGCCCTTTTCCATAGCTACAGACTCTCACTCCTTCCCAAACAGCTCCCTCCAGGCTTGGGGTGGTAGTGGCTTCCAGCTGCTGCTAGCCTGGGGTGCTTCTCCATTCCCTTCACCCTGCTCACACCTCTGTATACAAACTCCTTCATTAAAGTGTCCTCAATCACCCCTTTTCAGTGTGCCATCTGTTCCCTGCTAGAAGGCTGATGGAGTGGAGTTCTGGATCCAGGCAGCCGTCTTGGCACGAGGCAGGCTTGGCGCCTCCCCAGCCCACCGCTTTGCTATATGTTATTGCTGCTCCTTGGAAATGCATTAGCAGCTTAGAAATGGCCTTAAGGTCTAGGGGGGTAATTAATCAAACTGCTAATTCTCCATTTGAGAAATGCAGTGACAGAAAAGGCCCCAAATGCACAGTCCTGGCTCATGATTAAAACCATCCAAGTACATAACCAATGACTCATTGTTATTGATCTGGGCCTGACTGGGGCATGGGCAGCATCTAAAGGCCCTGGTGCCAGATCTGGCTGTACCATGGGTATCCTGGGAACAAGTCACTCGATTGCTTTGAGGCTCTATTTTCTGTTTTGCTGAGGATGTGGACTGGGAATTTCTGGGGCCTGAGAGGTGAGGGAGGTGGAAGGGGTGAATGAAGTATATCCGGGTCTCTTCGGAGACCTAAAGTCTAATCTACAGAGGCATATGGGAGGTCATACTATGTATGGATAATGATGATAATAGCTAATGTTTATTTAGCACTTATAGAAGATATCTTTGCCTACATCATCTGATTTTAATGTCTACAACAAATTGGCACTACTGTTTCCCTGGTATGTTACAGATGGTGAAAAAAAGTCCTGGAGAGATTGAATTTCTCAGTGTCACATAGCTAGTGCATGGAGGAAGACGGATTGAAACCCAATGTTGTCTGACTCTAGAATCCATCTTCTTAAACACCAGATATACTGCCTCTAGATGGGGAACTCTACAGAGCTTTTTTGATTGTATGAACTTCCATTATGTGCCAGCCCCTGTGTGAAGCCCTGGGGATATAAGATCTAATGCAGGCGTCCCCAAACCTTTTACACAGGGGGCCAGTTCACTGTCCCTCAGACCGATGGAGGGCCACCACATACTGTGCTCCTCTCACTGATCACCAATGAAAGAGGTGCCCCTTCCTGAAGTGCGGCAGGGGGCCGGATAAATGGCCTCAGGGGGCCGCATGCAGTCCACGGGCCATAGTTTGGGGATGCTTGCTCTAATGAGATTGGGTCCCCACCCTCCTGGAGCTTATAGTCTAGTGCAGGGTGGTCAAACTCTGTAACAAAGACCAGATAGTAAATATCTGGGGTTTTGTGAACCATATGGTCTCTATTACAACTACTTAATTGTGCCATCAAAGCACAAATAGAGCCATAGACAATATATAAAGAAGTAATTATGGATGTCTTCCAATAAAGCTTTATTATATTCAAACTGAAGTCTGAATTTCATGTAATTTTTACGTGTCACAAAATTTCATTTTTCAGAATTAAAAATCTAAAAACCAGGCCTGGCGTGGTAGCTCACCCCTGTAATCCCAGCACTTTGGGAGGCCAAGGTGGGGAGGATCATGAGGTCAGGAGTTTGAGACCAGCCTGGCCAATATGGTGAAACCCCGTCTCACTAAAAATACAAAACTTAGCCGGGTGGGGTGGTGTGCACCTGTAATCTCAGCTACTCAGGAGGTTGAGGCAGGAGAATCACTTGAACCTGGGAGGTGGAAGTTGCAGTGAGCCGAGATAGTGCCACTGCACTCCAGCCTGGGTGACAGAGTGAGGCTCCATCTCAGAGAAACACACACACACACACACACACACACACACACACACACACAACCAGCCGGGTGTAGTGGCGTAGTGGCTCACTCCTGTAATCCTGACACTTTGGAAGGTGGAGATAGGTGGATTGCATTGAGCTCAGGAGATTGAGACCAGTCTAGGTGACATGGGAAAACCCCATCTCCACAAAAAATGCAAAAATGGCGGGCACCTGTGGTCCCAGCTACTCAGGAGGCTGAGGCTGGAAGCTCGCTTGAACCAGGAAACGGAGGTTGCAGTGAGCTGAGATGGCACCACTGGGTGACAGAGTGGGACCTTGTCTCAAAAAAACAAACCAAACCAAAAACCCCAACCCCCGAAAAAAACCCCCAAAACAGTAAAAATCATTCTTGCAGGTCATGCAAAACATGCTGGTGGACAGTGTTTGGCCTGCAAGCTATAGTCTGCCTACTCCTGGTCTAGTGACCAGGCACAAAACACAGTGACCTATTAGAAAGCAGAACAGTATTTACTTAACAGTGGGAGGGAGGGGAAGTGACCAGAAAGGGCAAAGAGGACTCCTGGGATACTGACCATGTTTTATTTCTTCATCTGGGTGGTGGTTATATGGTTACATCTTGTAATATATTGTCAAGCTGTGCACTTATTTGTGCACTTTTCTGCATGTTATTCTTAAATTTATAACCTCATTAAAAATGACAGTGTAATAAGTCATCATGGGGTAAGGTCGGATGCTGTGGAATGAGCAGCTTTAACCCCTTGGAGCGTGGGAGGGGACGGGTCAGAGAAAAGGCTTCTCCAAGGAAGTAATGTTTGACAAGAGGTCCCATGGGAGAAAGGAAGAGGCATTAGGTTATTGGGTCAGCTGTTACTAAAGATCCTATCCTTATTTTAAAAAATATTTTGATCATAGACTTTTTGCATTAATTTTGCCATTTTAAAACGTCGCAGTATAACATTTATCTTGATGACTGAGTGTTTTGGAGCCCCCTTAAATTATGAACCCGAGGGAAGTGCCCCAACCCGGGTCCCGGCACGGCTGCAGAGGGGTCGGAGGCTCAGTCCGTAGTACCGTAAGCCACTGCCCCGCCCCCCTTTTCTTCACCTGTGTAATGGGAAAGGAGGTGAGGTGGGACGAGCTCTCCAGGGTTTAATATTCTCCCTGGCCCGACAGGGACAGCATCTTGTAGGGCTTACAACACCCGCGGTCGAAGAATGAGGCTGCTGAGTTCCTGGCGGAGCTCCCTCTGCCCAGATTTCCGCACTCTAGTTAATTTCCCAGATTAACTGGGAAGGCTCGCTTGGAGCAGGACTCGTGATTGGCTGGGACGAAGTCACACGGGAGGATTCGCTACCAAATGGCAATGTAGCATGCGTCATCAGCGAGCGACGAGAGCCTCCCGAGAGGGGTGCGGCTAAGTAAAATAAGCTCCTTTCTAATTGGCTGCTTCCTTGGGGAGTGACTGAAACAGCGATGGGGATACGCTCTCTTCCAACTCTAGGCTTCCGGGATTTGGAGGGAAGTTGAGGATTGGGGAGAAATATATTAAATCGCGTGTGTCCCGGAAGCTCGGAGGGGCGGGGCTTAGACGGTGGGGCGTGATTGAGGGCGGGCCTCTCTTTTGGGGGCGGGATTTTCTCTGAAGTCAGGGTGGAGCCGCAAGGCTCTGCTTTCCCCGGGCGCCGGGGGCGGGGATTGGGGTGGGGCCTCGCTTGTGGGCGGAGCCAGAGGCTAGGTGGTGGCGGGCTTGCAGTGCCGGGCGATTGCCAGGACCCACTTGCAGGTTGCTGTTCCCAGCCATGGCTTCGCGCTGCTGGCGTTGGTGGGGCCGGTCGGCGTGGCCTTGGACCCGGCCGCTTTCCGCCGGGAGCACCCCGAGTAGGAGCAGGGCGCCTTTGGGGCTGGAAGGGAGCGCGGGGAGGCCTGGAAGCTCTGAGTAGGGGTCGGAACCGAGCCGGGGCAAGGCTGGAGAGGGGCGAGACAGGAGGGGTCTCTTCCTGCGGGCGAGATCGCGGTGGTGTACGGGGGCGGGCGGGGATCTGTGCATGAGATGTCTAGGGTGAGAGTCGGAGGTCAACAAAGGTGTAAAGGAGAGACTATGAGATCCACAGATGTGAGACGGGGTGAATGGCGGGGACGGGGGGTGATACGGCGGTCTGTGGGGTGAGAGGGAAGTCTGAGTCGAAACAGGGATTGTAGGAATAAAACAGGTCTATATGGGCAATATAACGTTTTGTGGAGAGAGAAGGGTTAGAGGGGCGACATTTTGGGGAAACCGAAGGGGTGAGATTGGGATGATATAGAGGCTGTTGGAAGGATATGGGATTCCACCCGATTGGATAGGGAATGAAGCGGTGTTGGGTAGGCCATTAGCAGTGGTGTAGTAGGTTCATGGGTGAGATGAGAGGCTCTGGATGAAGACTCAGCCTTTGGGGGTTCAGATGAAGTAAGAGACCCTGCAAATGCCAAAGCCTTGAGGAGCAAGAGAAGGAGGATGCAGGTGAG